GGCTGGAGGATGCTGTCTGCAAATAGTTTGAGTTGCCACATTCCACAAGCCCCATAATTAGCTGCATCTGGAAACAGATGTCATAAGGTCTGTCCCTGACACTCTTGGATGATCCCATGGCAGAATTTCAAGCTCTGTCTCCAAAATATGGAAGCACTACAACTTCAGTTGTTACAAAATTGTTTTTGTTAAAAGAATGCTCTTAAATAGGCCAATGTTGTGTGTATTTATTTATTTATTTCCTCCTAATTATTTACAGAAACAATTGAATTGTTTTAGCTGAATCTTTTCCAAATAATTAATTCTGAGGAAGGTGCAGAGTATGAAAAAACTTCAGACTTAACAGTGCCAAGTTTGGCAAAATTGTAACAAGCAATCAAAAATATACTTTTTTGTAGCAGGAGAAATCAGACCTAGCTATAAGCAGTGCTGTTACCTGCTTTTATAATCCTTTTGATTAGAATATATATGTAATGCATTTTTCTCAGTTCCTATTTCATGTGGGTTTAGGATCTACAGTTCAGATGATTTTATTATTCAGAGAGAGTTGTTTGCAATAATTTAAAATCCTTTCCATGTTTTCCAGTTAATTTTCTCATTTTAATGCTAAACAAAAATAGTATTATCTTATGCAAAACAGTTAATATGCATAGAGAAAGATGAAGTAGTGACAGAAGATTTCTGCAATCAATGACAGCTGTAGCTGTAAGCAAATACAAATTCAAATCACATTTATATCCAAAGTCTTAAGTTTGTAGAGGTTGATGGTAGCTGACATGTTTTTCCTTTTCATATATTTTATTTTGGCTCTGACATAGGGTGTGGCATGCAATTGCATTTTATTAACCTTTTAGAATTAGAGGAAAAGAATTAGAGGTACATAAATCAAAGAAGTTTGTCATCGTTTACTTCCCGAGTCTATGTAAGCAGCTATTTTAGGACATCTATAGCAGAGATACTGGATTTATTTTTTGACACAATCAGGTGGTGATTTTGTGTATTCTGCTCTGGATTTTGCTCTCATTCATGAAATATTAAAGCTATATCATGTTTCTGTTTTTCTTTATGGAAGGGAAGTTTGTCAGTTTGAATGATACTGTATTCAATTTCCAGATTTAAAAATAGAAAACAGAGAAAATTAGACTTTGCTTCATTGTAGATTCACAACTTCGGATCTTTTGGTAGGAAAAAAATCTTATATTAGCAGTTTAAATACATGAACAGTGTATTTTTCTTTCACATCTCATAATTTGAAAATCATGCAAATCTGTTTTTGAATAGTCTTCTTTTAAGTTAATTGTATTTGTAATCTGTAGTTCCTTGGGAACAGAACACTATTCAAAAAGTCTGGGGATTAGATTCCCAAGTGTATTTCCCTGCGACCTTTTAGTACTGAAGATTGAAGAAAGGCTAAAGAATGTAAAAGCTAATCTGCTGTTTGTATGTTTTGTCAAAAGCTGACATTTTCAGTTTACAAATGTAGAACATAAATCTTTAATACTAAATGTTTACAAAAGGTCTTTATGAAAGTTCAAAAGTGTGACAACATACATTTATGTTTCTTCATTGTTGACTATTAACAGTCTCCTTTATTTTTTGTTTCTCCTAACTAATTTCTTGTTACTTTAAGTAAAACATTTTTCCATTAATTGATGAAGAAGGTTTAAAAAGCACTAGAAATACCAAATGTCATATGTAGAACATAAATGGGGTCTGGTTTATGAATGTGAAATGTAAAAGTGGTAGCTTTCTAAATGCTTATTTTATGTTGTTTTGCAGGTCTGAAGGCGAAAGTTCAAGAAGCATCAGGTATGTGTTCATATTGGCCTGTCTTCCTTCTGTCACATGGTCCCTGTGGAACTTAAGTTTTAATGAAACAATGTGCTTTGATTTATGGCTAATTAGAGCAAAATCACTGAAGCAAAACTTTGTATTTTTATTAAAAAGTCTTGACTTAAGCATGTTGCAGAAGAGAAAGTATAATTTTTTACTTTGTTTTTGACTTAATTCATTCTATGCAAAAATATAAAAGAATGCCAAAATGACTATGCTTCAGCATGACCACCAGTAGACAAGTGCAATACTTGCAAATGTTGTTTTCTAACTGCAATATATTACAAGTTTATTTCAAATTTTTTTCTTGAGGGTAATCTTCGGCTCAACCAAACCAAAACTGTGGGACAGCTGGAGAACATATTTTAATGTAGTTTCTAGTGTTCTTTCTACTATGTAGCATCTGGGCCATACTCTTAGCAAAGGAATGAGCCCACTTTTGATTGTGGGGTGTAAGAGAGAGGATGCATGGCTATTAAATGGCATGTCCTTACAAAATGTCTGTCTACATTCTTGTTCAGTTTTCATAGTATGATCCAATTTCTCCTAAGCAAAAGAAGGAGAAGAACTTTAGATTTTCTGTAACGTATTTTGCTTACAGGAAGATCCTGATGCTACAGAGCTCCCACAATTCTGCAGTTTTTCAGGATTTTTGTTTGTCTGGCTTTGTAAATTATTCACTCTAACAATGACACCACGAACAGCAACAGAAAGCAAAACAAAACAAAAAAAAACCCCCAAACCAAGCAACAACAAAGCAGTAAACTACCCGTATTCAAGGTATCTACAAAAAATCACCTAACACTAAATTAATTGGTTCCATAATTGTATATCAGCCACTAATAGCTTCCCTCAGAAATAAGCAAAAGATACTCTCACAATCATATACTAGGCTCCTGTGCTTTTCAGCTAATTGTTCAATTAGGATACTTGTTCCAATAACTGTCACATCAATGTAGAATCACCCTGCATGTGGAGAGGGGTGCAAGAGAAGGTGAAGGCGTGTTTTGTACATATATTACAAAAGTTAGGCAGACTAATTGGTGTATACTGCGGACTGTCATGAAGGACTGTCATCAGCAAAGGCAGAGGCAAAACTCACTTAAATTCAGAAGTGGCGTAGCTTCAAATTTATTCTCAGCTTTGTGTGTTCAGGCAGTGTAAAAGTTATAGTCATGAAAATGATTTACTGTTTGTAAAGCATTTGAGAATGCAGCACTTTATTGGGAAAAATCCTGAGTTACTTTGTTTGAAATATGAACTAAAAATTGAAGAGAACTTTAGGATCCACTATTGGCGCATTATTATATATATTCATTTAAAATGCTGGGGGTGGGGGCTAGCAGCAAATAATAGCTTTTAAATCATGATCTTCCCTGGAGTTGATTTTAAATTCCCTTCATTGTCAGATTTTAGGCTGTCTACACTGCCATATGTGTTAGGAAGACAGATTCTTAATGTACTGAGTTGGGTAACATTCATTGGTGGTTGACTGTTTTTGTGTTTGCCTGTTGTCCCTTATTATTTGCACTTGTTATCTATTTTAAATGAATGTTAAAACCCAACCCAACAGTAGTTAAAATAATGTTGACTATTATTTTTATCTCTCTTCACTGGTGATAGTGGAAGCATTTTTAATTGAAGGTGATGGTTACTCCACTTTTACAACTGTGTGAATGAGATCAAGTTCTGGCCAATTGTGTTTTCTCCTTTGGCTGAAATCCTGGAAGGCATGTTGCATGTGATGACTAGGAAAGAATTGTACACTGCCTCATGTTACCACTGCTGGAGGCCGCCTCATCCTTCAAACAGGCATTTTTTAAAGGTGAAACTTTCTTCTTAGAGGTTTTCTGGTTCCAAAGGACAATGTACAGGGTGCAGCATTGTGGAGAGTCCTCTGTATTGGAAAGTTGGGTTCAGTGGGTTCAATCAAATATTTATCTACAAAATCATTTATCCATTCAGGGCCTTCCAAGCACCTGGTACATAAACAAGAATTACAGTGGAAAGGAAAGATCTATAAAGAAATCACATATCCCAACTGACAGATAAATAAGTACCTACCAGCAACTTAAAATTAGGGTAATAAAAACCAACCCCCTCACCCCTCAGCTTATGCTTTACAGCAAGTTTTGGAATATTAACAAATCCTTATTTTGGTAGACATGGATAAGGAGCTGATTTTCAAAATTGAGGACTCAACATTGGGAATACCCCACTATTGGTACCCTGCATCTTGTAGCAAAGGTTTGTTCAAGTTGAACTCCTCCAGACTGAATCCATTAATACAGCATAGGAACAGAGGCACTATCTCAGATAACCAGGTCTTTTGTGCTTTCTTTGTGAACATCAACACCTTGAACTCTCTCTGGAAACCTATTGGCAGTCAGCACGGGTCCCAGATCACTGATGTATAATGTTTTCTCAGCCTGAAATTCTGCTCAATAAGTGGGCTGTGGAATTTGGCACTAGCATCAGCTGTAAAGTGGTCTCAAAATATAGCTTGAAATAGCATGTCTTCCATCAGTCTGGAAATAGGCAAGAGAAGGGGTATATTTAGGAGTTAGGCCCCAGCTGATGGGAATTCAGTGACTAGGATCCCTAGCACATGTGGTAACAAAGGTGAATCATCTGCTATTTCAGTTCAGTTCCCTATTCCCTATTATACATGCTTTTTGCTGGTGGAGGTGCACAGATTTTAACCCAAATGCACTTCTGTTCTCTTGGCCTCAAAAACATGTCCATGCTTTTGTATTCCTTCTGGTCTAGCTTGTAGTCTTTTGCTTTTTTGCACATTCTTACTCATCTTTCTAGGTAATTTTTTGACCTTGTGGTTAAGTTGTTCTGTATTGTTTTGCTTTCTTGTTACTTCTGCCACACTGCATAGATAGGGTGACCATATGGGACACTGTGAAATCTGGGACACTGCCCCCCTACCCTGCAAGTCAGCAGTGCTGCTGCAGGCAGAGGTGGAGGAAGGGCAGCATGGTGCAGGTCTGGTATTACTATTCAGGCAGCTAAGGGAATTAATAACCTGTTAACAACCCATTGTTTCTTCACAGGTGTTATTCCCTTTTTATTGGTCATTCCACTAATCAAGCTAACCTATTTTAGGGCAGTTTTGCTGTCTGCTAGGGCTTCCTATTTCAGAGCTCATGCTGCTCTGCCTTTCTTCTGGACTGTGCCCCATGCCCCCTGCCCATGATGCTCTATTTAATTTTCACTAGCCAACTGAGACCAGCCTCTGAAATCTGGGACTGTCCCAGCCAAACTGGGACATATGGGCACCCAATGCATAGATGAAAATGTCGTTTATTCATCTCAAATGAAGAGATGAAGACAGAACCAGGATGCTCACTATGCTGGCTGTAATATGTCAGTGTCTTCTGCCAAATTGTTCTCAGTAGAAGCTATGAAGTAGACTAATATGGCAAGAATCTGATGTCTGGTCAAACCAGAAATAGAATGCATAGTCTCTGCATTGGTTAGAGCCGTGGTTACCAACCAGTAGATCTCAGCTGACCGGTAGATCTTGGAGCATCATGGCGTTGATCTGAGGCTGGGGTGGGGGACTGAGCGAGCACACATACATGCATGCGTGTGCCCCACCCCCGTCTCAGGAGGTCAGTCTGTGGGGGAGGAAAGGAGCGGAGGCCAGATGGAGCCCCCCATGGTCTGGGACAGTGCCACAGAGGAGGTGGGGAGTGTGTAGGTATCGTTGGGGTGTGGGTAAGTTGGGTGTGCATGTGGGGGAGCTTCCCTCCTGCCTGGTCTTTGACATGGCTGAGCCTAGCCCCTCCGCAGGTGCAGAGGAGGGGGATCAGTGCTGCCTGCCTGGCTTGCAGCACACTGCAAAGGGCAGGACAGCAGCTGCCACTGGCAGGCAGCAAGAAAAGCCCCTGGTGGTGGGGAGGGGGGATGCGGCAGGGTGCCAAGCCTGGTGCCGCTGGCTCTTTTGGTCTCTCCTACATCTGCCCAGTGGTGCTGCAGCTGAGCCTACACTGGCTCCTGTTACTGCTGCTGCTCCCATCCCATGGGCTTGCTGGGCATGATGGCACCAAGTGCACACTGGCTTCTGCTGCTGCTCCCATCCCACTTGCTTGTCCCATGCCTGCCTGGCTGGGCTTTGTGAGCAGCCAAGCTCCTTCATGCCCCACTCCATCCACACACTCCTCTGCCCAGCTATGCATGAGGAGGACCAAAGTGAGCTGCAAGCAGAGCCCATCCCACTCCCCTCAGTGCTACAGCTTCCTCTCCTACCTGCTGCCTGGAGCACTGCAGCTGGGACAGGAGGAGGAGTTGCTGGAAGCTGGGGGAGCCCTGCAGTTTCTTGCGCAGTGGCAGCAGCCCTGCCCAGAAGCTGTGCTTGCTGGCTGGGGCTGGTGCCCTCCAGTGGGGGAGGCTGGGAGCACAGCAGGAGTTGCCCCAGGTGGGAGTGGGTGGGACTCAGCCCCATGCAGAGCGCAGCAAGAGCAGTCACCAGCGGGGCTGGATACAATTAATTGTTGGGTGCCTGCCTGTGGGCTGGATCCAGTCAGGTGGTGGGCTGTGTTTTGCCCACCCCAGCTGCAAATCAACATTTGTACAGCTTACAGCGTAAAGTGTAACAAGGCCCTAAGATTCTGAAAACTGCTCTTTGAAAATTGGCCATGAATAGATACTTTGTACTGCCGTGCTGGTCTTATTTCACATTTTTACACATGCATGCGTTGCAGCATCGGGCATTTTAAAAGCCCTCAGTGCTGTGATGCATGCAGCTGTATAAGTGGCAAAATGTGCATCAGCACTGAGAAAATAGCGGCGGCACGCTTTTGAACTAAAACACCTCAGAGGCACTGCCGCCATTTTCTGTGCGCTGACATGCATTTCGCCACTTACACAACTGCACCTGGAGCAGTGCAGTTCACCTCATCTTGTGTGCAGAGCAGACTCAATTAATCAAGCCTGCTCTGAAGCAGCGAATCTATGGCTCATCA